TCTGGGTTGCAGTGTCACAACTGTCCATTATGCTTAGTCAAGCAAGCGCTGTTTTTTTTTTTTTTTTTTCCTTCATTCATCCATACCGCTTCCCGCGCCCCCCCTGCAATGGCATTGCGCCCCCCCCTAGGGGGCGCGCCCCACACTTTCGGAACCACTGATTTAACCAGTGGTCCTCCTATTTCTCAATTATTCTGGTGATATCTTTAGGTAAGGCCGTCCTACGTGCTCGTCCCGTTTTCACTGACCGGTGGTGAGTCTGACAGTGGAAAAATTGCAAACTGCAAAATCCTCCACTATACCTTTTAAGAAGGACAATATGCACTGCGTTTTGGGTGGCAGTATGAATATGTATGGGAGTAGGTCATGTTTTTGGGGTGTTTTTTGTTTTGTTTTTTTACATTTCTGTTCTGATGTAGATTTGGAGAGGTTTAGTAGTCTATTGTCATCACTTGACAATAACCTTCTGACTTAAGAACATCAACCATCTTGCTTTGTTTGTTTTAATGTAGTAGCTAAGAACAAGGACCCTTTTATTTGCTACATATTTAAAAATCACAGAAACAAGAGGTTCATTTTAGGTTTATGGACTTGGACTACCCTAAAATGTAAAAACAAAATGTATTTCATATATTATTTAGAGGGAATTTATATTAACTTTGGCTAAGATTAATTTGCTTGAAGCAGTTATTTTATAATTGTAATTAAATTAAGCAAATTAAAGGTTGGATTTTTCAAAGAATATCTTTTTAACTGAGTTATTTTTACGATCAAAGAGGATCAATTTTAAGGGTTTTTAACAGCTTTTGATGATATCTCTGAAAGTATGGAGGGTGCTGTAATCGGCACAGGCAGGAGCATGGTTTTAGGCCTGACTGCACGTGTTTAGGTAAATAGTTGTAGATGTTTAAGAAGTCTAGTCTTGGTGTGTAGAGACTTTGTTCCCATGACACAGCATGCTCACTTTCTCAGTGTCTTGCACATTTAAGGAAGAACTAAAACCTAACATCCACCTTTTTCCTTCTCACTCCCCCACCATTACCTCTCCATTCTGTTTCTGGTGCCCTGCTCCCTCAGAAGGATGTGAAAAAGCTGGACGATGAGGTCTGGGCACTTCTGTCTAACTTCCCCAATGGACGAGCTGATTTCCCTTCATTTCTCCCCCCTTCTAAATCATCTTCATTTTCTTCATCCCGGGTCCCGACTTCCTCTTCTTCTCAATGGTCTTTAAATAACCTGAGCCCCCCTTCCCCTGCATCTGGAGTTTCTTCCTCTGTTAGACCAACCCAACCTCAGTCTTATTCTCCAGGCCACGGCCCTCGTCTGCAGGTACTCTCTCAGTCAGCCAGAGCTGTGATGTCAGGGTTTTAAAGCTTTATGTTATTTGTTTTTCATTTGTGACTTTTTTTTTTTCCTTTTTGGTATCTGATTCTGCTGTCGATGAACAGAGCAAAAACACTATAAGCAAGACTTCTGCGGCTTCTGGAGGCAAGGTAGTAACAATAAAGCAAGAAATAATTGACTGCTCCTCAGCAAAAAACAAAAAAATAGTCATGCTTCCTAAACGAAGTTGGATAGTTAATCTTAAGTGAAGTTGGACAAGAATACAGGTTAGAAATGTTGAGAAGGGATTCTTAAATTGATGAATCAGATAATAGATAATAAAAATGTACAAAGATGTAAAACATAAGATTACTATTAATGGACAGAACCATATAAAGTGCTTTCTGAACCATTGTTACCATTAAAACAGTGTAAATAATAGCGATAAAACTATAAAAACTTTTTTTTTTTTTAAGCTGACATTATGAATTAATGGGATGGAACAAATTCTAATCCAACAAAAGTTATTAATCTTAAGTCGATCATTTGTTTTCATCCCTAGTGGGAACAAAGTAATATCTATGGATATTATAATTTATCCATCCATCCATCCATTTTCTGTTACGCCTGATCCAAGCGGGGTGGCAAGGGGTGCTGGTGCCTATCTCCAGCTGTCTACGGGCGAGAGGCGTGGTACACACTGGACAGGTCGCCATTCTATTGCAGGGCATAATAATTTATATAATATCCAAATATAAAATGCTGTTAGCCAGCAAATTAATAATACTCTGTTTTTTTTTTAAAGTTTTGTATGGATTTTGTAAATTTTTATTCAATACGATCATGGTTATGGGAAGAAGGTCCTTCTACAGTCCCTCAAAGCCCTGGAGTTGATCATACGTTTGTTAAAATCTCTTTGGAAACAAACTCAAAGTTCTTTAAGTATTTTTTCACAGGATTTCCCCATTGGTTATTTTGAATTATGTGCATAATTTCAAAACATTCTATTTACTTAATTAAATTCAAATGAAAACATTTTTTTTGGTTGAAAATGTCAGCACCTAAAAAACACATTTATTTAAATCCCCATAACTTATTTGTACTGTTTTTTTCTCGGTTTTCCAGTCATAAATAAGTGGCATGAATCTGTAATGCGCTAAATACATTTCAGTTAGCCTCTTTCTGAATTACAATAAAGTATTAGCTAATAACTGCTTTCTTCTACCTAAACTAAATATGATTTTTTTTATTTTATTTTAAGATGTATATTTGTGCAGAGAGCATTTTTTTCCAATCTGTTTTCTAAAATTTTCCAGGATCAAACTTGGCTTTAGAAATTGGTTATCAAGCAAACGAAATTCAGGTTTTGATTTACTGATTTTTAGGAAACTATTCTGATTTTAAATCCGTCTGGTCAGACTGGATGTCTCTTCTTAAATGAGCTTGTTGCTGCTGCAGAGCGTACCTTGGTCTGTCACTACTGTCGTTGGGTTTGAAGAGGCCTCTTAAATCTAAACTAACGTCCCTGACTGTAGGAGAAGCTGTTATTGTTAATAAGGGGGTCTTTGTGACTCATCAGTCATTCTTTCTACATTAAAAAAGCTTTATAACCTTTTGTCATACATGTCAGACTTTCCCCTGTCTTGCTTACTTTCATCTGCTTCTGAGCCTGCTTACATTTTGTCCTCCCTGCCTTTCTGTCTATGGCTTACTCTCTGATGCCTTTTCTGCCATCTTTGCCCTGTCAGTACGCTCTGGTCTACAAAGGTTTCAGCTCGCAGCCGGACGATGTGCTCTACTGGCAGCTCCCTGAGCAGTTCAGAGGGGATAAGGTAACTTTAAATGGTCTTTGGGAGGGTTCAGCCAAGCGTCTATTGGAGTTGAAGGAATTGCACCATCAGTATCTTCAGTTTGTCCCACTCCATCGACCCAGTTCTTCTGTTCCAATTTTCATATTTGTGCTACAGGATTATAAAACTGGATTTTTTTCCTTATAGATCTGAATGAGCCGTGTCAAACTTCAAATAAATGCAGATTTAACACATGCTGGTTACATAACAGAGGACATTTGTCGACAATGAAGTTACATAAGTAAATATTATTTTGAAATGTCCACATAACATTTAGATGAGTGGACTATGGTGGTAATTGCAGGGAACCTGGAAAACTGCAGAATTTTGCTGGGCTGATTTTGGTGTCTGGATACGAGTAGAAAGAAAATAGAAAAAAATACTTTTTTTCTATAAGAAGAAAAAAAATGTTTTTTTTTTTTCAAACACTAGTTTCAGGACACAATCTGCAACATCAGCTCATTTGTGCAACCAGAAGTACATCCAGGTCGCCCTCGATTGGAATAAAAGACAGAAGTTTTCTCTTTCTAATTATAATAGGCATACTTTTTTTCTGAGAACATCGATGTGTTTACATCCTGTCTGTTTTACCCTTGGCTGTACCCGACCTGCCCTGGAAATGGGATCCTACACTATTTCCACTAGCTGTTTTTTTTTTCTGCTTTGGATTTTTACATAAATGTAGTAATCTTGAGTCTTTTGTTAGACCTTTGCTGTATTTTTATGCTATACAAACTGTGCGGTGATATTTTTCCAGAGTGCTCTAAGCATATCCGATGATGACTTCAATCAAGCAGTTTAATGAAGAGAATGCAAAAGGCATCTAACTCTCTCAGAAAAGTTAAATAATTTTTTACAACATGTAGTTTAGCATTTGTTTGACGATCTAAGGATAGAAATAAGTACTCTCAGTGCTTTAATTAGAGTATTTCTGGTGACCTGGATACATTTCTGGTTGTTGTTCCATCCATCCATCCATCCATCCATCCATCCATCCATCCATCCATCCATCCATCCATCCATCCATCCATCCATCCATCCATCCTCTGCATTGATTAAACTTTTCTTTCTTTGGCTTCTACCGTGATCAAAAAGGGAGCTATGATTTTAGAATACACATTTGGTAAATATAGGAATACCGAAGGCTTATAGACGCATAAAGCTATATTAATAATAATAATCAATTGTTAAAAAAAGAAAGATGTTTTTTTTGTGTTATTTTTTGTATAATATTACACTAAATGTTTATTAAATAAAAGGTCTTGAAATGTAAACCAGTTTCTGTGCTTCAGGTGGGCTCTTATGGTGGCAAGCTTAAGTACACCATAACCTATGTGACTCGTTCAAGAGGGACAGAACTTGAGGATGCTGACATTCAGATCATTGTGAGTATGCCGTCCAGATGGTTGGCTGGTTTCCCGCTAGACCTCCCAAAGTAAGCTGGATTCACCAAACGGCCCCCCCTTGTTGTCCCTCATAGGGTAATGACATCACCCTGGTAGCTCGTCAGACCTGGCAGCGGAGGCCGCTGGGAGGCAGAGAGGAACATGAGTTTGAGATCATCTTTAGAGAGGTGGGTCCTTGCTAACATCAACAACACTACAGTAAACGGCGAACTAAATCATATTGTGGAATAATCATACATGGATCCTTAGAAATGTTGCTGCTAAATGTGAGATTTTAAATGTTTGGTGGAAACGTTGACATCTGTTAGCGAGAATCAGAGATCTGTCGTCGAAGTGCTGTGTCAACCTGTTTCACACCAGTGTCTGCTGCTCTATAGGAACACTGGCGTAGACCTGACGGCATGCCAGCCACCAGAGAGCACCTGATGATGGTTCTGGCTGACCTGGATGACATCCTGATCCGAGCCTCCTACTCCACTGAGATGCTCTCCTCCAGCATCTCTGATGTCAGCATGGAAGTGGCTGTGCCCAACTACACTGGTTTGGCTCAAGCCTACGAGGTGGAGCAGTGCCGCTGCCCACCTGGCTACCAAGGACTCTCCTGCCAGGTACGAATAGTATAAAGTTTGAATTCAAGTGAGAGTGCTAACACATAATAAAAATACTCATATGAGGATTTTTTTTTTTTAAACGCATACATGTAAACTGCTCTCCATGCACATTTTTTATGTGTTATGTATGTATATTTAACACCATGTATATTTAACACCATGAGTTCATGCTCATTCAGTTGTTTTTTAGGTGCTTATAGATTCTCATTTTCTCCCATTCGGAACAGTTTTTATGTGCTCATGCCAACTTTTGTCACTTTGAGGGTGGAACCACCCAGTGAAAGGAAACTGCCTGTGACTGGCTACTTTTCAGAAATCCTGCTTCTCGGGACAGGACTGATTTCTTCCTGCTTGTAGCTACTAACCTTAGCAAAGTGTCTTCATACTCTATTTTCATATCCAACAGCAATCCTAACGTCAACTGTTAATGGGGATGCACCGATACTGGTATTTGTATCGGGGCCCGATTCCAGTGTTAAGTACAAGTACTTGTGAAAACAACCTGAACGCATATGACTTCTATATTTTTCAAAGGTCACAGTATCATAACTTAAAAGTTTTGATGGTGAGAAAAGTAGTGATCATTTGTCCGGACAGTCAGTTAACTGAGTTCAACTATGTAGTCCACTATATAGTCCATATTCTAGCTTAGCTCATACAATTCCAAATTTAGCATTAATCATGTTAGATCAAATTTCTACTGCTGTCAGAACACATTCATGACTGTGTTGAAGTAATGTATTTAATGATGTCTCTAAATGTCCGCCCTAACTACTATATAGGGCACAATATAGTGATTACGGCATTTTAGAGGAGTGTCCGAACATCTAGTGGATAAAAAAGTAGTGGACTCGAAATTTCCCACAACACACCTTAAAAAGTACTGATCATCCATGGTTACTAGGCGAGCAGATGTATCCCGGAATCATTCTAGGATATATCTGCTCATGGGATTTGTCGTCACAGCGGCCCAATGTCGCCTACGGCTGTCGGTACCCGACATTGCCGACTAATAAAGATGGCACAGGCACCGTACAGGGAGGGGCGGAGTTATGTGACCATTGGTGCAAAAACCAATGATCATCTCTCTGAATGGTCAGTTAACTGAGTTCACTATAAAATCCAATATATAATCCCCGCACTATATAGTGATTGAGGGATTTAGGGGTTAGGGTGGACTTTCAGAGAAAACCTAAATTGCTGGTTATACTCCCCGCAGCAGTGTGTCGCAGTAAGATTGTTGCAGATATTTTTGAATTTATGACTAAAATTGAAGCGTGGTCTGCGCTCCTCACCGAGGCGCGTGAGGAAGTGGGGGCAAGTTTGTGAGACAATGGAGGGATATGAGAGTGAAAAAGAGCTGGGATCCAGGTGGAAAAAGGGGTCCCAGCGTTCTCGCGCACCTCGCTTTTCTAGCTTGTCCAACTTCATGAGTCGTTTTCCACAATGGCGGTGATACAAACAAAACAAGCCGGTAAGGTACCAAACAGGAAATATGCATAGTGTACAGGGGATGTAGATTTGACCAATGAGAGGCCTCCTGTCTGCGGTCACCTACAATTTTGGAGAGGTGCAGCAGAGTGTCTGTGGCAGGGGCGGGGGTACATTTGCATTCAGTGCGACACACTCAGACGACCTGGTTTCTGAGAATAGAACAGTGATTACCCTGAAAATGATGTGCTAACGTTAATAGCTTGTCAGTTAGGAAGAAACAGTACTTCATGAAAAGGCTGGTTTTCCTTTAAAGTAGCCAATCACAGGCAGTTTAATTTTCCTGGTACTTTCCACCCTCAAAATGAGAAAAGGTGATAGGAGCGCATGGTCCATACGCATGGAGGAGATATCTCTAATGTATCCCCCTGTCCTGTGTTGTAGAAGACAGATAATTACTGTGTTGTCTTGATTTTTGGTGTAAGATTCTCTAAATCTCTGGATTCTGCTTTCAGGATTGTGCGTTTGGTTACACTCGTACTGGAGGAGGTTTATACCTAGGCCACTGTGCACCATGTGAATGCAACGGCCACTCTGACAACTGCCACCCAGAGACTGGCATCTGCGTGGTATGTTTTAGCATGTGACCAACAGGTTGTATAAACCCTGTGGTGAGATGCTGTAACGACGTTTCTCTTTGCAGAACTGCCTGCACAACACGCAGGGGGAGTTCTGTGACCAGTGCGCACCTGGCTACTTTGGAGACCCTACTGCTGGCACCCCAGAAGACTGCCAGCGATGTGGCTGCCCTCACACTGACCCAGACAACCAGTAAGTACTGGCACACATAACAGGAGCTCTGATTTCAGCTCCATTTATAGCTGCAGACTGATCTTTGTCTAGCTGCTATGTTTACAGAAAATGAAGTCAAGCTTCTGTGGCTTCAGATTCAGCACAAACCGATTCATCAGAACAACTCATCTTACATGTAGCCGTCTTTAAACCTTTTTGTCTAATTTACGATTTCTCTTAAAGCAACCCTATGTAACTTTAAGCCACTTGGGGTTACTAGACCCGTAACCAGGTTCCTCTGGATGTGGAGGCTGTGCTTATTTGACTGCTGCATCCTTAACCAATCAGAGCCTTTCCACCTGGTGCACATTTCTGAAGCGTCCCTGATGCGGCTGCTGCTGGCCGTTTCCCTAAAAACGGAGCCTGTTCTGTTTTTGCCGCATCAAGTCCACGTCAATATGAAGCAGAGCAGATCGTTCAGGCAGAGAGTCAGTTGATTAAAAGGTAGCAGATCAGGTAAAGAGTAGTAATAGACTTTAAAAAGTAGTAAAAAAGTAATAAAAGAAGTAAAATACTACATTAGCATTCTTTAAATCGCATTTCTGGACTTTTATGTAATAAAAAAAAAAAATCTGTTCATATAGTTGAAAGACAGCCATAACAAATGTAAGCATTTAATTGATTAAAATAAGGTAAGGTTATTAAAGAGTAGACACATGAGATTATACTTTACTGGTTTGTTGTTCTACTTCAGCATGTTGATGCATATTTATTGGAAACCCGCCGTGACTTTTTGGTTTAGTGCCACCTAATGGCCACTGGCAGAAATCCATTGTGGCAAATCGACACTGTGGATCAGCAGGTTGACAAGTCATTCAGTTATTTGTAAATTTAAGGCCACATTCACCCCTTTAGATTGAATCCTTTACCAGATATGGTAACGGATTTACCAATTATCTATGATCATGTAAGGATCAGGGTTAAGCCTTACTGTTAAAATGGAGCTTAGAATGCAATAAAGCAGCACTCTGGGTCAATTGACCCATTCAGTGAAGAAGTTATAGATGAGTTTTTAAAAGATTGGACTGCACAGAGTATGGATATATACGCTTTATACTGCCCCCGGAAAAAAAATTATATATATGTCAAATTAAGCGATTATGTGGGTTGAAAGTTACACAATGTTGCTTCAAATGCTACGAGAGGATACTGGAGCAGTATTTTTCCCATTCTTCTTGCTATAAGTGGTAATTTATATAGTATTCAGTATAAAAGGAAGACAAATTCTGTCTTTCTATGTATTAAAGTCAAAACCCAGCATGTCTCTTTAGTTTTAGAGAACACTTCGAGTTTAGAACTGCTATTATTCATTCTGCAGATCAGCCATCGCCTCACGTCTCTTCTTTTTGTATGAACCACCACTGCATGCTGAAGACCCGCCCACTCTAAATCCCCTCAACCAATCATATGCTTGCATCTGAGCTGTTGCTCCGTCTCTGCACCGAAAGCTGCTCCCTGCAGCAGAGAGAGTGCACTTGTTAAAAGTCATCTTAATCAATAAAGATATGTTAGTTAATAAGTAGCAATGTAGCGGCGTCAAAAAAGATTATTTTTTTTTATGGTACATTTAGTTACTGGCTGTTTGTTTAATTTTAAGCTTTGTGCGTGACTTGTGTGACAGGTTCTCCCCTACCTGTGAAAGTCTTGGCGGTGGAGACTACCAGTGCACATCCTGCCAGCCTGGTTATACCGGCCAGTACTGTGAACGGTAACACAGCTCTTTCTTACTGACATGGAGAAAATTAAACCAACAGCTTTTGTTTTGTTTTTTTTACATAAAATTGACAAAACGGGGCTATTTTTCCATTTTGGATATCAGAATAAAAGTTGCATATTTTAAATCTATCCTTTATAGCTGTGCTACAGGATATGTCGGCAACCCACAGGAGAGAGAAAAGTGTCGTCCAAATGACGGTAATGAAGAACGCTAATATTTACATAATCCATGTAATCCTCGCAACAGATTTCAGAATAATAGTTTTTTCTGTAAAATTAACCTGGCTATTGGTTGTTGCATTTTGCAGACGCAGGCCAGCTGCAGGTGAAAGTTTTTCCAGATAAGTTTCATGCAGAGCAGGGCAGCTCTCTCTCTCTGCGCTGTGAGGTATCCGGAGCTCCTCCCCACTATTTCCAATGGTCCAGACAGGATGGACGGCCCATCTCAAGTGGCACTGAGAGGCGTGAACAAGGTGGGATCTTATAAAATTAATATTGTATTGTAATATTTGAGGGTCAGGGTAAAATGGCTCTTTCAATTTGAAAGCTTGCTTCTCCTTCTCTAAATGTTTGTTACTTATTTCTGAGCGCAGGGGCAGAGCTGTACTTCCCCAGCATCCAGCTTAGCGACGCTGGCATCTACGTCTGTACCTGCCGAGACCTGCGCAGCTCAAACCATGCTGAGATTATCGTCGTAGGTGCGTGAGGGTCCTGCTGTCTTCTATCAGGGCAGCAAATTCAGTGCTGGTCCAAAAAAAAAGAAAGAACTTTCAGATGAACAGAAGGAGGTTTTTTTATTCTCAAAAAGTTCCCTGATTCATTTCCTTGAGACTTTGGTATATTGTATGTTAAAGGTATAGTGGAGGATTTTCACGAATTTTTGAAAAGACCCACCCTTTCCACTTAAAAAAAATAAATTGCACATACACAACCCTGTACCCTCTCCCGAGAGGCAATTCCTATTAAACACGTGAGAGAGCATGCACAAGCCCATTTCTCCTCGTGCGCATGTTATTTAAAAGTTGATGTTTGCATCACTTATACAAGCTTACTTTCCAAAAGAAGATTTACAGTTTTTCTACTATGTCAGACTCACTGAAAATTGGGAGAAGCACGTAGGACGGCCTTACATAAACATATCACCAGAATGGCTGACAATTAGGAGGACCACTTATATTGATGATCAACCTGGAAAAAGAACATCCTCCACTATACATCAGATGCGTTTCCAGTTTAGCACCTCCTATGGAAGTGGAACATTTCTTATTTTTTTGAAGGAGAAAAGATCAGAATTTGGCCTGGGTTATGATTCCCAAAAGGTCACCTCAGTGAGAACATAGCTGTATAAGCAGTTATTGTAAACTATGTGTTCATCCCTTCAGGTGGCCCAACTAAACCCATCGTGGTCACAGTGGAGGAGCCGAAAATTCAGACTGTAAGGGTTGGATCCACTGTTAACTTCATCTGTACTGCAAAGAGCAAGGTAACTCTGGAGTTTATTGTTGGCGTGGTTATATACGCTTCAGTGCAGTGATTAGCAAACTGAGGCACCTTAACCGTAATTTAAAATCACACAGTATGTCAGTATAGGGTTTGTCAGCATTTTATGTTTTTCACACAAAAATTTTAAGCATTTTACAGTTTTATGCATTTCTTGAAGTGAATATGTAAAATAAATCTGGGAAGGTGAGTTTTAACCAAAACTTAAAAGTTTAAAAGTTCTTATTTTTTCTACCTGCTTTTAAAAAAGCATTATATTATCAAACGTTATTTTATTTCAATAAATCAAATCGGAACGTATTGATTTATTCTACACAAAGTGAATGATTCCAGCAGTTATATTATTTGCAAATAAAAAAACAAAAACTAAGTTCAGTTCATCAAAAATTTTTAATGTTTCTTAACAAAAAAAATACAATATATAATAAAAATGTGTTATGTTATGATATAATTAAACATGGGAATGAAGCCAATCTTAGAGATTATGTAGGAGATGACCTTCCTCTACATAAGCCTTGAAAGATAAATGCAGTAGATGCTGACTTTTCAAAATGCAAAGTCATTCATTGTACAAAGTTGAGTGGGAGGAAATTTTTTATTATTCGAATTGGAAATCAAGATACTAAAGTCTAAAGAAAGCTCTGGTTCCGACCTCTCATTTAGGATCATAAAAGTTTACATGTTAAGGACAAAATGAAACATGCGTAGGCTACACGTGTGACAGCATTCTGTTTTAAACAGCTAAATTGTTTACACTAAATGCACAATACACATTTTCAATGCTCGTATAACAGGCGAACAAATGCTACGCTTCACCTAATTTAGGTTGAGCTTCCAATTTCACATGAAATTGAAACAGGAAAACATCTGGTATCAAAGTAAATTTACAAACACCTCATGAACTAGCATTCCCTACAAAAGAATATACAAAAAACAAAACTTATTCATTCTTGTACAACAAATTAGAAGTTCTTTATAGTTTTGACAAACTAAAATATGAGATTTTTATTCAGATGCATAAGAGACAGAAGTTTAGGTGACCAAAACATACAGTAGGATATAGTGCTGGTAATTTTATAATTTACCCATATATCACTGGTTAAATTACTAACTGAAAGAAAAGTAATTTCTATATTTGTAATCACCTTCCCATTCAACATAGATGCAGTAATTCATGCAAAAAAAGAAAAGCCCCGATAAAGTATATCGGATACAGGTTACGGTTATACTATTCAAATGGCTGAAGATTTCTCTAATAATGATTGATTTTATAGGGCTTTAGGTTGACAGTAAATGTGTCTAAGAATTGTACTTTTCAGAGAAACAACAGTTGCTGATTTGCATTAGTGTGAAGCCATGCTCATCTAAATGAACAGAATAAATCTGAATGATCAGAGTTTAACAGTTTAAGAGAGTAACTAAAGTAATAAACAGATGTTGCAGTGGTAGTTCCTTATCAAAGTTAAAAAGAAAAAAAAAACAGTCTCAAACAGACTCAAAACCCTACAGTCTTTTTAGTCTCCATCCCTCCTGTGTTTCATGTTATTTTTCTTCATAGTCTCCGGCCTACACTCTGGTGTGGACCAGACAGGGTAACAGGAAGCTTCCCAACCGCGCCACAGACTTTAACGGCATCCTGACCATTCAGAACGTCCAGCCTGAGGACGCGGGCGTCTACGTCTGCACAGGCTCCAACATGTTTGCCATGGATGAAAGTAGCGCCAAACTCTACGTGCCAGGTTGGTGATCCTTCGGCACGGCATTCCACCTCCCATCATCCTCACCCCTGCTTCAGCTCTGAATCCTGTAGTGTCTAACCTTAAATAAAAGCCCCTTGCCTCTGCTTTGAATGATGCATGGCTGATTTAGCGTTTAGTTATCATGTGACATAAATCACTGGGCTATCAGCACAATATCCTACCAAGTCTAACTCCCAAAGCCTCTGCTGCCAGATTACATATTTATAGCTTCTTTTAATTTTAAACTGCTAATCCTGCTCTCTTCGCTGGCATTTTATCATTCTAACATCCTGCTGTGTATGTTATGTGACCCAAGTTTCCTGGACTTCAGATAAAAAGAAATACAGCTTGTGGGTTTAAATGATGACGAATAAATTGAATGTTCCACATTTCTGCACCATTTGTGGTCAAGTAGACAGAGTGCCTTTAAACACTGAAATAACAAGCTTCCTGACACAGGATCTGTGAGTACAACTTTGTGCCAACTCCTTTGGAGCTTTTTTTTTTTTTGGTGGTGGTTCGGTGGCTTCTCGATCACTGGTAGATCTTTGCCTTGGTCCTGCTGTCCCGGGGGCGGTATTCTTTGGTGTGCTTTTAGCCTTGGGGTGTGCCACGATGGGATGAAATGCAAATGCCACAAGTGGAGAGATAACCGTGCACCCCATGTCCAAGCTCCTTCAGTTCATGGTGAACCAAAGAAAAAACGTAATGTTTTTATTTCTTTGTGCGCTGTTCTGGTAGTTACAGTATTCTTTTAATTCCTGTTTTGTAACTGTCGTCTTTACGTGTAAAAGAGTGAACATGTTGGTGCTATTAACTTTCTTTTCTTGTAAGTTGCCATACTGTGGCTTGTAAAATGATTTATGGTCTTTGAGTTTTGTCACTTAAAACAGAAAACATCTTTGTGTATTTTATTGGGTTTTATGTGACAGGCCAACTGAATGATAAATGTTTATTTTTTTACACATCATGATTTAATAAATGTGGCGTTGGTTTCTGTTCAGCATCCCTGAGTCCTTACTTAGATTTTCTTTCACTTAATAATAAAAAAAAGGGGGTTTTAAAAGTAACTGCTGTTTTCTCAGATTCTATTCTGTCAATTTTTTTTCTTTTAAAATTAAGTCAAAAAAGATATTTAGATATTTTCTATTTAAAATTTTTGTTTTTTTGTTTTCAATTTGCTCTGTTCAGATGGTTTAACACATTTTTACAGATTATCTTCTCTTCAAGCCCAGTTCTGACCAATAAGATGTTGGTTGCTAATGTCCATGCAGACCAAAAAAAAAAAAAAAAAGAAAAAGGGTCTTAACTCCTCCCCCCAGAGTAAAGTGCACCCCCAGATAAGAATCTGATCTGTAAAAATGAACTATGCTACCAGAAATGTGCTTCTTTTAAAGATGCTTTTGTACATTTTAAGTGATTGGTTGTCATAGCAACCACAAAACAGGCTTAAATTGGAGGGCAATCGGACTTTCATTCTGTCTATACAGAAGTCTTTTGATGTCCTTTGGTGTCCGAATGTCTAGTGGTTGAAACAGCAGTGGACTCAATATTTCCCACAATGCACCTTGTATGCATCCATGGTCACTAGAGGAGCAGATATAGCCAAAAACGCACCGCAAGAGCTCCTCACAAAGTATCATGCGATTTATTTTGGGGACAAGAAAAAAAAAATATGTGGCAGGCACCGTGTGAAAAGTCAATGACCAATGGGGAGCGAATAGTAGTGATCATCTGTCCGAGCGGTCAGTTAACTGAGTTCACTATGAAGTCCACTACATAGTCCCTGCTCTATATAGTGATTGAGCTGTTTAGGGATTAAGGCAGACAGACACCAATCCACTCCTGGATAGATTCCAAACATCTTCAGAAAAACTGAGCAAGAGTCTGGTTGTTTTTTTGGTTTTTTAAGCTTATTTTGTGGTCTTTAAAGAAACTTAATATCTCCTGAGTCATCTGATGTCTCTTGGTTTCCAAGACGCTCTTTGTTCACAAGTGTTTCCCTAATTTCAAAGGCCTTTACAGGACAANTGTTTTCAATTTGCTCTTTTCAGATGGTTTAACACATTTTTACAGATTATCTTCTCTTCAAGCCCAGTTCTGACCAATAAGATGTTGGTTGCTAAGGTCCATGCAGACCAAAAAAAAAAAAAAAAAGCATCTTAACTCCTCCCTCCAGAGTAAAGCCCACCCCCAGGAAAGAATCTGATCTGTAAAAATTAACTATGCTACCAGAAATGTCCTTCTTTTAAAGATGCTTGTGTAAATTCTAAGTGATCGGTTGTCTTAGCAACCACAAAACAGGCTTAAATTGGAGGGCAATCAGACTTTCATTCTGTCTATACAGAAGTCTTTTGATGTCCTTTGGTTTCCGAATGTCTAGTGGATGAAAAAGTAGTGGACCCAATATTTCCTACAATGTACCTTGAAGATAAGATCGCAAGAGCTCTTCACAAAGCATCATGCGATTTATTTTGGGGACAAGAAAAAAAATTATGTGGCAGGCACCGTGTGAAAAGTCAATGACCAATGGGGAGCGAATAGTAGTGTTCATCTGTCCGAGCGGTCAGTTAACTGAGTTCACTATGAAGTCCACTACGTAGTCCCTGATCTACAGTATATAGTGATTGAGCTGTTTAGGGATAAAGGCAGACAGGAACCAATCCACTCCTGGATAGATTTCCAAACATCTTGAGGTTGCTGGTTTTTTTTAAGCTTATTTTGTGATCTTTAAAGAAACTCAATCTCTCAATCTCTCCAGAGTCCTCTGATGTCTCTTGGTTTCCAAGACGCTCTTTGTTCACAAGTGTTTCCCTAATTTCAAAGGCCTTTACAGGACAATTGTATTTCTGCTGTAGAAATCATATTTTATATGTTTTAAAACCCTTTTTTAAGCTTTTTATAAACCATTATTTGTCTCCCATTTCACAGTGAAGTACACTGAGTTGGCCTGTCACATAAAATACAAATAAAAGCCATGTATGTTTTTTCTTATTTTATGTGAAGAAATTTGGAAAAGCTTTAAATGTATGGATACTTTTTTCAAGGTACTGAATTATTGCTATATTTCTTATCAAATAGCGGAAATATTTTTTTCAATACAGGAAAAAAAAGTGTTATAATCTGAATTTTGTTGATCAGCTGCAGTTGTCTGGTTTTGATTTAGAAACGACAATGTTTCGAGTATTACAATAAGGACTGAAATAATAATCTGATAAACATGTTTAGTTGTTTTATGTCATAGGAATTGTCAGTGTATATGTAGTTACCCTGTTTGCTCTGTGTTTAGATCTTGTTTATGTATTAAAGAATATTTCACTAATAAAATCACAGGTCACATTTTAATCACCTTTAATATATCAATGCATTTTTCATTTGTTCACTTCTGTTGATTTGTATTATTGCAGATATATTTCTTTTGAAATTATGCAAAAAATGTAATGTATTCACCACCTGTATTTATCTTAACTGTGAAAGTATTTTGTGATAAAGAAGCAATGCATTAAAAATAACAGACAAAAATGATTTGTACATTTGTGAAATGGACTCTGTCATCCTAAATCGTTTAGTTCAGGAAAACCACAAGCTGTATATCTTGGTTTTAGTAGCTGAGATGAAACGAGTGTCTTGATGTTTATGACTGCTTTTTGCTACTAACCAGCATGACTAACATATTTGCTGCTCTTTGTTTCCCTGTTCTCCAGTGTGTGTATGTCTGTGCATCTTTTAATACCTGAAGCATTATTGTCTCGGAAATTCTTTTATATTGTAATATTTTGTTCATAATCTAGTCACATTTGTTCAATACAACATTTTCAAATATATTTAAGTGTACATGACCTTTAAAACCAAAACCAACAGAATTCAGTGCTATTACTTTGAACAGGTTATATCAAGAAAATGAATAGTTAAATTACTTATAAACATCAACAGGTCAGATTTATATCCATTTGAACAGAATCAAAAGTGGCTGAAAATAAAGATATATTAGTTCAATTCACTTTAAAGCAATCACATGTTGCATTGAGATCAGATGTGTTTGTATGCCGTCAAGTTTAACCCGAATTGCAATGCAATGCTGTTAAATTCATCAAATAATTTAACAGCCTTTGGTTGATCCTCTAGCTTATTGCATCAGTTCATTTACATGGTATTGATTTATCATCCTGAGCAAGCATGAGACAACAGTAGAGCGGAAGAAGTCACTTTTAAAGGTAGACATTTCCAGCAGAATTAGGTTTAGTTTGAGCCGCTGCCAGCCAAGCTTTGACTCGCTGGACTCAAGAAAACGATCTGTGGGAAATATAAACAAAGGCAATGCAACCAATAGCTGCAGAAATTCGCTACTCATCCAGGAATCAGATGCTGCTGAACACAGCTGAGCCAGGCATACTTTCTATAAAAAGAAAAAGATTAAGAGAAACTAGAAAAGCACTCGGAGCAAAGACCTCCACAAACAGGAGATTTTGCACCATATTTTGACTTATAGCTAAAACTTAAACATGATCTGGATCATTACCACATTTAAATGAATTGTTTCTTGGTATGAGGCGGACCACTGTTAAAAATTTCTTCAAAATCCATTGATATTTTTTTAAGTCATTGGATCGACAGCGCTTTCTTCTCATGTAATTTTTTTTTATGTCTTCAGTATAATACTTCCAGACTTATTTAGTATGATGCAAAAGCCGTCAGTAGTCACTACTGCCACCCTCTGGTTTAGGGTGGAACTGCTTGTTCGGCCAACTATCCCTATCTCCCAATGCTAAAGCGTCCCTCAAAAAAGAATCCTGATTATGATCTGGATCATTGCCAATATTTAATTGATCGTTCATTGATGTGAGGGGCACCTCTATTAAACATTTAATTAAAACCCATCAATAACTTTTTAATTAATCCTGCTTAGAAACCAACTAAGCAACCACCCAAGCGTCAATATTTGCAGAGTCTGAAGAGAGACTGCCTTGAACAAACACTACTGAAAACATAGCCTCACTGACAGAAGAAATAACAAAGCCATTGATGGCTTAGTTGTGAAAATTTCAAAAATCAGCACTGAGCCAGGTGGACTTTCTCTGTAAGAGAAAGACGAACAGAAATGGTATAGTTATGACATGAATTGATTTGTAAATGGCTAAAACTTGTTAAGAGACACACAGATGTGGCAAGAGCTCCATTACTGACCCATTCAGAGAGGACAAACGGTTATACACTTTCTATGGATAGAGAAAATAAGAAAACAAAGGGAAAAGCTGCAATGAAAATAGATCAGAGTTGTGTAAGATAAAAGGTTCATGATTTAAAACATGTTTATGTGTGTGTGGTGTTTTATTGGACTGAATACATAAAACCAGCAGCAGACCAGATGTGGACGAGGATGCGCTGTAAGCGTATCTCTGGCTGAGTGGAGGTACAGTAAACTGCTGCTGATTTGACCTGTCAGTGTACTTGTCTCCTCCCCCCCTCCGTCTCCAGAGGCCTCACAGACTCAGATGTTTTACACAGCCTATGAAATGTTTGAAGGACACGGAAAGCGTAAGTCTGCAATGTTTCCTCACTGGTCGGACCCAGCCTTCCCTCTTTACGTCATGCATGCATTCATCCCCTACAGCATGGAGACGTGTGGCCTGCTGATGCCCATGTACAATCAGCCACTCACTTTCTCCAGAAACTAAACTGAACAGGACCTTCCATGCTGTCCAGTACACCTTTTTCCAATCCCTTAAGCTTAATTTAGATTCAAACAGGAACTTATTTCTTTTGATAGATTAAAACCTAATTGTACATGAGCATTACTCGTCACTGTCCACCTCTTTGGGTTCAATGGACTCCATCACTGTCAAAGTGCATGTTCATTTTTATGTGCACCTCTTCATGAATGCCAACTCTTCTTGTCATCTTTCTGCAACCTCCCACTGTACTACACAGTCCTTGTGGGCTACTTTTGGAAAAATCTGTTAAACTTTGTGGTTTCTTCACTGATAAGATGTCACATATCTTGATCTTTATCCTCTTTCTCATTGCACCACCCATACCTCACCAGGAAACATGCTGTCCTCTGGGCTTCAAACATCATAACTGTGCTTAATACATCCCAACCCATCGTCTTCTGCATCATGATTGAATGTGTTTTTCACACTGGTGTTCACAGTTTTATTTGACAAGAGGCACCTCAAAAAAGTCACATGAATATGAAATTGAGGTTTGTGAATAAGTGTGTAGAGTCAAGGTAAAAGTTTTAAAAGCAAGAAAACCCTTTTTTTTTTAAAAAGGACTAAATTTGAGGTATGTAAATTTGAAGTATGGTTATTTTCTCTTGATCAAAGCAGGTAAAAAAAGACAATTTGCCAAAGCAATAAAGTTAGTGTAAAAAAAAAAAAAAGACTTTGGCATCTTATTTCCAGTGTGTAATATCTAGTTTTTCTAAGGGGAAAAATACTAATTTTGCTTGTATTATATCTTATTTACCTTCTAAAATTAAGAACAAATACTGCTATACTCTTATATTTAAAAAAAAAAATCACTTATTTTTAGATCTTACCATCACTTAAACACGAACATTTACATTTGCTCTTTTCTTTGAATTGTGACTGGAAATGTCCCATTATCTAAATCCTTCTTGTTAATCAGTCAATTTGCTACATATCTGTTCAAACAAACCCATACACTGCAACATTTCTTGGCTTACTTGAAAGAGAGCGAAAGACTTTATCTTACTAAATGAGCAAATATTTTCAGTTTATTTGTTAGGTTATCAGCCTGTAGGAGTATTAGATTACTGTGGTAATCCATGACTTTCTTATTAACCTGAGTTTTTCCAGCCAACTCATAAATAAATAGATCGTTGAAGATGTTTAAACATAAAAAAATATATATTAACCAAGACTAGTGTTCAATAAGTTCAATAAGCCTCCAATTGTTAAATGTTACCCATGTGCTTTGGTTCAGGATGCCCTACCATCACAAATGTAGATGTGTAGTTTTTTGCTCCGTTTAACTTGTCCTACATATTTTAATCAGATAGATAGATATTGAAGTTAATTAATATAAAACAACTAACTAAAATATGGAAAAGTTTGCTTTTTTTAGATGCATTTTATACGTCTTTAATGAAGTCAAAGTGCTTAAAAAGTCATTAAATAGAAATGACCAGTTGAAATGATAAAGATAGCAACGTTGGTGTAAGATCAAAAAAGGAAATTATGAAGAGACAAAACAAAAAAAAGAAAGGAAATATAAAGAGAAAGTAGAGAATAAATTAGAAATAAACTAATTCAAAGTAAAATATCACTTACCATAAGGTGGTATAAAACTTCTGCCCAAATGTATAGTATAATAGTTGATCTTCTCTAAAACATGCAATCGAACGCACTTCATGATCTTATAACAAAATAAATCCTTTACATGTCTCTACTTTCTTATATCTAAACTAGTGCAGGGCTCTTAAGATGACAAAATATTAAGCTAAAATTAATATTTTATATCATATGTTTATTATAGGTTATCACAGTTAAGAATGACTTACAGTAACAGTACTACAGTAGTTTTGTGGAAATAAATGCATGAATTGAGTTTTTGAAATGTGGTTGTTCAGGAAGGGCCTGTCATTGGATGTTTTTCAAGGTGATAAAATGTGAAATAATAACAGAATTTATTCATTGTTTAGAATGAGGAGGATCTTTCTCTTTTTTGCAAATCCTGGGAAATGTTTGATTGTATGCAAATCTTTGACCTGAAATCTGGAGTTGGGTCTTCATGTCTTGTAGCATTATAAAGGTTTAAAAAGTATGAGTTAAATAAGAAGAAATGATCCACCCAATCAAAAACATTTCAGTCCGCATCTAGGGAGAAATATCTAAGGAGGAGAAATACTAAGTTTATTGAAAGAAAATGCTGTTTTGTGTAAAACAGGAGAGCAAAATCTAAATATTTTACAGATCTGTCAATAAATGTCCACAGTGCATGAGTAGTGGTTAGAAATAAAAACAAATAGATAAGTCAGTAATTATAAGGGGTTTATTTACATGTAGAACACAAACTTAGTAAAAGCTTAATGGAAAATAAAGGAAGGATTTCATACTATTCATGACCCCCATTAATTTTATGGATAGAGCAAATGGAAATGGTGCTAAACTCACTCTTAGAGTCATTCTTCATTGTTTCTTCTTGCTCTGTTTTCCGATGTAGACCATGAATCGTTCTAGTCTGGATTGTAGGAGTCAGCTGGGTGATACAGTCAAAGCTTAGCTGAAGCTACACCCGTCTCACTGGTTTTAGCCTTCTTAGACGCCTCCCTCTGTGCTGAAAGAGGCCTTTATTTAGCACTGCAACCCTTGAGTATTAGAGTGGAGAAAAGTGAGCCAAGCTCTTGCAGAGTGAAATATGCAGAGAGGCGATGCCAAGAAGTGCCTCAAACAACTCATCTGTTCTGTATACTGCAAACTTATGAAGTGCCAGCTTTAAGGGTGCAGTCATACCCCTGGCTCACTGAAAGATCACATCCCAAGTTTAAAATACCAACCAATTTAATGGGATTCTACCCTGAAACCAGTTTGTTTATGATTTCTTTCCAGTAGCATGTCTGTATAAAGCTTCATTTTACAGGCAAATATTCTTCTGTTGCTTCAGAGGGGGCCCAGCCTACTGCTACCATCACTCCCGCTGTGCTAAATGTCCGGCAGGGCCAGAGAGCAGAGATTCGCTGCACAGTAACTGGAAACCCAACACCAGCCATCGAATGGATCGGTATGACTACTTTGTGTACAACTTGGAGACAGTTATTTTTTGTCTCCCAACAGCCCTATTTATGTATACTTTTAACCTTTTATAATGTTTACAGCCTGAAAACATCTGCTTTATTTGGGTTTAATTATATGATCGTCACAGGTGGTCCAGGAAACAGGATGAGTCCCAGAGCTGTGATAAGAAATGGTATCCTCACATTCCCAGCTGTGGATCCAGCAGATGAGGGGGAGTATATCTGCAAGGCCCTGAACACTCATGGCGAGCACACAGCACAGGCCTCCCTACGTGTCCAAAGTATGCTCTGTGTTTATACGTTAGATACTGGATTAAGTCTCTTTCTCTGTTTTACAAACATTTCTTTTCTTTAAAAGTCTATATAAAACAGGGTAAATGTGTTTGACTCAAGTTCAAATCAGGGTCACTCAGTTACCTCTGCACGTGGAATAAATGCACAATTACTATTTAAAAGATACACACTTATTAACAAAAATAATTCACCTGCAGGTCGGAAAAATTGAAAACTCTTGACTAAACTAGTGAAACTCAATTAAAATTCAATTCAATTCAGTTTATTTATATAGCGCCAATTCACAACACAAGTCATCTCAAGCATTTTACAGTTCACCCAGATCATACAGTCAAATTAATCCAAAGTTTTCTATCTAAGGAAAACCATTTGATTGCATTGACTCAAATGCAATTCCTTACGCCAAGCATGCATGTAGCGACAGTGGAGAGGAAAAACTACCTTTTAACTGGAAGAAACCTCGAGCAGAACCAGGCTAAGTGTGAGCGGGGTTCAAGGAGATAGAAGCAGAGGCACAAAAAGCAGCTGTAAAAGGCGACACGGTCCAGGAAATACACAGCCAGGCCGACAAGCACCAAGCCAGCTTCCATGTCAGAGGATAAAGAGAGCACATCCAGCCAGTCACGGTCAGAGAAACAGGACTACACTGGAAAACAGGCCGATCTCCAGCATCTATAAACAAGGGTGTTGATGGAAGCAGCACACCTGATATTTCTCTCCAGGATGGCGTCACAGCCAAATAGGAACAGATGAGGCAAAGCTACTCTGAGGAAATAGCAGAGAGAGCATAATGTTAGAGATTGAACTAACAGATTCTGCAGAGTAGGAGAATAGAGAGAGAATGAGGCAGAATGATAAAATGGGGGTCCCTATGTCCTCCAGAAGTCTAAACCCATAGCAGCATAACTATAGAGATAGCTCAGGATAACCTGAATTAATCACAGGATTAGCTTTTAAACTAATTCAAAGGATTTGGAATGTGTTCAAACCAAATTAGTCACCATTAGCTTTGCTGGTCAAAACATGGTAAAACACATGAAATTATCAGAAATAATAATTAAAGCAAATGGTGTTCCCTGTCTTTTTTTCAAGACCTGATACCTCTATTGGTCCGTGTTTTAAAAAACTGAGGCACCTTCAAGTTCAGGAATATTGTTCATGTCCAGGGTGTGTTCTGGACTCTCAGATTAGATAGCTTAGATAAGGCATCCCCAACCTCAGTTCTCAAGGCCCGCTGTCCTGCAGGTTTTAGAGGTTTCCCTGCTTTAGCATAGCTGATTATAATGATTGCAGTAGACCAAAAGCCTGTTAATCAGCTTTCAATTAAAATCAGCTGTGCTGGAGCAAGGATACCTCTAAAGCCTGCAGGACAGCGGGCCTCGAGGACCGAGGTTGGAGATGTCTGGCTTAGATGGAAGGCTAGCTGTTTCCTTTCTGAGGCCTCGGGGAGAACATGGTAGACAGTCTGTGCTGCAGGTTCTTGTAAATAGGCTGCAGGTCTACTGAACTTTAAACAGAAATTAATAACAACTATTTAACCATGTGGCCTCCGCCTCCAGGCCTCTCATCCAGATGGTCCCATCCAATGTGGTCTCCATGGGAGAGTGCTCACAGAAAGAGGGTGAGAGGTGTGGGAACAGGGCTCTTATAACAAACACAATCAAGGTGCCTCACATGTCCTAGGGAGTGTTTCTTTGGGAGCGTTTTGGAGAGAGATTTGCAGCCTATAGAGTTAGTAAAGAAAAGCTACATGAATGTTGTTCCACCATTTTTCCACCACTTGGCTGGATGTGCTCTCTTCATCCTCTGACATGGGAGCTGGCTTGGGGCTCGTCTGCCTGGCTGTGTGTTTCTTGGACCGAGCCGCCTTTTACAGCTGCTTTTTTGCATCTTTCTGTCTCCTTGAACCCCAGTCAGCCTCAGCAGATGGCCGCTCACACTGAGCCTGGTTCTGCTGTAGATTTTTTTCCTGTTAAAAGGGAGTTTTTCCTCTCCACTGTCGCTACAAGCATGCTTAGTGTGAGGGATTGCCTTCGAGTCAATGAGTTGATGCAATCAATTGGTTTTCCTTAGATAGAAAACTTTGAATCAGTTTGACCGTATGATCTGGTGAATTGTAATGAGATGACATGCGTGGTGAATTGCTGCTAAATAAATAAACTTAATTTAGTTGATTTGAATTGTGCATTACAACTCAAACTCAGTGAGATTTGAAGGAGAGCGTCTGCAAAAATCAACCTTCAAGTCCAACCCTGGCTTCTCAGTTGGTATCAATCTGGATATACTTTGATGTAAACTGTTCCATCATAGGCTGGTTTAAGATCTTTAGGATGTTTTAAGAAACCTCTGCCCTCAAGTTTTGACAGTTCCCAGGATTGCCCACCCTTTATTCCAATTTTCCCATTGGTTCTATTCAGCTTCCTTGGCCATCCTGAAGTAAATTATGATCACATAATTATGGTCTTACTACCATTTTACTGATGTGCAGTCTGACATCTGCCAGATGGGGTTTTGCTTCCAGGCTAAAAAGCTCAAGCTCAGTCTCTGATCAGAGGACTTCTTTCCACCGTGTTCCCCCTACTGCAAATAGGAATCTCTGCAGCCATACGGCCACTATTCCATGAGGGCCGGACTTGTATAGTTCAGAACAGAACTGCACAAAGATTGTTCAGACTGAGATGATATTTTTTTAAGAGCTAAATCTGATTAATTCTATCATTGCCCGGCTTGTGGTCGACGGCCATGTCTCAGCAGGTTTTTAGTTATCATACTTTTTTACTTTTTGATGATTGAATGAACAGTTCTCTCTGGGATGTTCAAATTGTAGTTTTTTCATTGCTTTAAACTTTTTCCAATCTATCTTACCTTTCTGCTTTCTTCATTTTTCCATATAGCAAATACTTTATTTATTGGTATTAGAGCAAATTAAAACCCAGAAACTTTCAGACCAAAATTGAATCCTATAATGAATTTCTTCCACTCTACAATCATTTTTTTCTGTTGGTATACTCTCTAATTTCTAATAAAAGAAGTATATTTCTGTGGTTTTAAGACTGCAAAATATGAAAATGTTCTTAAGGTATTGTTGCTTTTGTGAAGGACTTTGGAATGATGCAACTATTTGCTATAAAAGCATCTTTTGTGGAAATGTAATCTTTTTTTTTTTTTAAGAAAATAATCCCAGTGGCTTAGGAACTCAGCCCCAAGTTCAAGTCAGTCCTCAAAATGTGGATGTTCGTGAAGGGGAATCTTTGAGATTGTACTGCAGAGCAAGCGGTTCGCCCACCCCAAAGCTCAGCTGGTCGAAAAATGGAGGACAGCTCCCCCCACAGGTAAGATATCTAATACTTACTCTGGTCTATGAAACCATAATATAACCATAATCAAGGATTGAATGCTCTCCCTAAAGACTAAATTGAAATTAAAAATATCAGATTTAATATTTCTGTGTTACATTCACCTGTGCTATATCTCAGGGTGTGTCCAGTGACGACGGTATTTCATCGGACTCTACAGCATGCTGACCATTGACCTTTATTTTCCCCCTCCTTGTTTGCCCCCCTCCCACCCTGTTCTACCGTTTGCTCAGGCCATTCCCTCTCATGGTTTCCATCAGTTTAAAAGCAACAGTCTCGATGTGTTACAAAGACGTATTGAGGAGCTGCAGGTCTGTCCATCTGTCTGTGTCTGTCCTGTCTACTAGTTCAAATCCATTGTCTGCCACTTACCTCGTCTTCACACCACGTCCACTAAGTGCATGACCTAAAACATGTCCTTGATCAACTCCGTGTGAAATTCGTAGTAATGTCCAGCAGCGGCTCACTTCAGTTCATGTGAAGCTGGTGTCAAACGCCTTAAACCAATAAGGCGGGTCTGTTGAACGTCCTGCATGACGTCCCTGTTTCTTTGTAGCGTTTTATTTCATAAAGTTGTTCCATAGTGTTTCGTTTTGTTCTGTCCTCATTAAATCATCCCAGGCAAACCCCAACATTCCACTAAGTGTTTTAACAGAACTAAGAATAAAGATAGGAACTGAAAGTTGTCAGGAAATGATCACAAGCTTCAAAGTGGGTTTTTTTAGGCAACACTGTGTAACTTCTGACCAAATCTGACCATTCTGAGGAAAAACGTCCATTGTTTTTTTCATTTTGTGGAAAAGCATTAGCTTAGCATTTTCCATTTTCCTCCTACGTCAAAGTTTTGCACTACTGTCTGCTGGTTTATCACACTACACCCCAATGAGATATAGAGATGTTTATCACTAAAAGATTATAATAAAACGGAATGTGGAAAATTCTAGGAGCATAGAAACTTTTTTTCAAGGAATCAGCTTTTTAGACACTCCTGAAATGCAGCTCTCTGCAGCCCTTGAACGGGTTTTGTGTTCTGGTTTCCTCATGGTCCTTCTCGACTAGACGAGGGCTCCGGGGCCTTATTTAGTTCTGCCTCAGAGAGCCGCTGCGTTGTGTCAGCCTTTCCCATGGGGGAGCCGGGCTGTGCCGTGCGACCACGCAGAAATTCTGTATGCTCTAGCAAATGGCTTGCTTTGAAAACTCGCCAATGGGTTCAGACGCACATTGAGGCTCGATCCGCCTCCGACTCTGCTCGGTTTAGCATCCCGCACGGTTGATTTGGCTGCAGCTAAGCAGCTTTGTCCACGGATGCCACAACATCAGCCCCCCTCCCTCACTACAGTAATCCGTCCCCAGACTCTGACCCTGCCCTACTGATTCCCTTCCACTCTGATGTGATCAAAGCTTCATTACAAATTAACTGTAGCCTCAGACTTTGGAGTGCAGGAGTTCAAATAAGGCCCAGCTTTGTTTCTGTTTTCTTTTAGCTAGAGAGTAGATAAAGTTGATGGACCAGTTTCCATTGTTTTGGTAATTTTATAATGAATATTTCCACCTGCTGCTGGAATTTTATTGCCACAACCTGCTTCATAATGTTAACTAACCTTTGATTCTGAGTCACCTCGAATAATCAGAACTGCTCACCCTAATTTCCTCATTATTTCAATCATTTTCAGTTATAGACATTTCAAAGGAAACAGTGAGTTATAGAAATGCACTCATCAGAGCTTTGTGGCTAATTTGTATTTTTCTCCTATAACTATAGGCTTTGCATCATTTTAAGATAAAAGTTATGAGTGAACTGCGACCCTTCTTTGCATCTTTTATTAGCAAAACTTCTAAAGGCAGCTCAAAACAAGGGGAATTGTTCATCCGTACAGGAAGATCATTTTACTTGACAAGATCTCTTGATCTAATATTTTTAAGTCTAGAAATAAAGCATGTTAAACACTTAAAATTAGAAAGTGGGATCTATTTTCTATCACCTCTAAATGTTTGTTTTTTCTTGGTAGGAACCAAATTCTTTGCAGTGTAACTTTAAAGCTTTCTTTAATAACTTCTGCTCAGAAGAGTGTTGCAGTTCCTCATTAAAAGAAAAGCATCTAATTCAGGCCACAAGCCCTTTCCTCTGTGCATCTCTATCAAATTTGACTATTAGCATTGCAGAGTAACTGCTCTAACCTCACCGATCACAGTGGCAATAATTGCCCTGCTTTATCAATTCTTTTCGCCACTTGTGCCAAAGACACTGAAATCACAAACAGTGCTCAGACTGTTGCAATAACAGCTTTTGTCCTGTCTGAAATATCTGCACCATAGTGCATTTTGTGTTGCTTCTAGCTAGTTCTGTCATCATGTGTTGTATTTAGAGGCGGAGGTAAGTGATGTACTTTGTTTTCGGACAAAATGAAAATCTGTAATATTTCGGTTTAAGCTATTTTTTTCTTTTCCCTTCAGGCCCAAACAGACCGGACAGACATCGGCACGCTCTTCATCCCCAATGTTAAGATCTCCGACGCAGGCACTTATATCTGCATCGGCAGCAACATTGTCGGCACAAACAGTGCTCCGATTCAGGTCACTGTTCATAGAGGTAAGAAGGAATCAAATGTATTCTTGGCTTGCAATCACGTGATACACTCATGTCCAGTTAAGTAAGTGGAGGTCAGGCCAACTTAAAACGGTTGCCGATGTGCGATGGAAATGCAACTCTCCTTCCGAATATTTTTGTGCTTTAGGTTCTAATTTTCGGAATCGATGACTCGGAAAAGTCAAATTGTGTAATGGATAGGGTTGGGAATTGATAATATTTTCACTATTCCGATTCCCTTATTGATTCTGTGAAACAATGAACTTGGTAGGTGCACGGTGACATTCGTCTACCTTCGCCTGGGACATTCTATCTAAAACAGAAGGCAGTAAATGGGAGCTGCCAGCCAAGCTACCCGTCTCGTCACAGTCATCTAAATCTCATGGAGAAGGCATCCTTTTAATGAAAAAGCATTATTGTACAATTTCGGAAAATAAACTAATCTCCCCCTGATTTAAATAAACGAGCGTCACCTTTGTCTCTCTCCCTGAACTGTGAAGCAACTTCATAGCATGTTTAATGACCCCAAAGAGAGGTAGGAAACTGGTTTATTTCCAGAAATGGCATATGATTTATTAGAAATGACAAGCACAGCCAGTGATATATAACCAGCTACTTACCACCAGAGTTGTCTTCCATGCTGGTCATAACTTTTGCTTCTGTCCAGAAACATCAAAAACACGGCATTCGTTAAAATGTATTCCATGTTGTGTGCGCAGGTGTTTCTGCATGTTGGATGTATTTTCTCCAGCGGATGTTATTGCCACTTTACATCCAAACTCTCAATTGGTTTTCCCAATGGGACGCCATTTTTTTTTTCTTTTCTAGACTTACTCCTGGTCACGTCGTACTTGCTTACTGAATGCCGTGTGCATAAAAAAACATGACGTAAGTCGTGCTGCCCAGCGCTAGGCTCTGGTGCTGCGTGGAACTGTTAAGAGAACCATTAAGCGAGCTGCTAAATGGTGCCATTGAATTGGAACACATGGAACCGGTTCTGAACAGGAACTTGTTTTCCATTCCCATCCCTAGTAATGGAATAGATCCTTATCCATTATCCAAGTGTGATTTGACTTATGAGTTGGCAAAATACTCGCCCGTCAGTTCCCCAGTATCTCAGTGTATCTAGTGTTCCACCAGAGTGTGCTCTTGCTCATCTCACTCTACAATCGCTGCAGTCGGCAGTTTAATTTTCTCAGGGCCAAGTTTCCTGGTAAGCTCCCAGTCTATGTCGTTTTTTTTTTTTTTTTATATAGCAGAAATTGTGCTGTTTTGAAGGTTCTAGCAACTGGCATTTTGGACCAGTTAACAAAAAGCTACATGTCTTTTAAAATACTTCAAATGCATCTTCAAATCACTGTTAATGACACTGAAAGGCTCTTTATATGTAAATTAACGTCAAAGTGAATTACTGACCTTTAAAACGTGATCGCCACAAAATCAGACTCAGCTCCTTTTGAAGTCAACGAAATGTTAACAATCCAGTTTTTCCCGGGTCTTTTCGTGAAACTCTTACACCGAGGACCCTTGTTAATAACTTTATGAGGAACCCAAAAGTAACCTTTATCGGTCTCATGATTTGTTCTATTAGAACAACCCAAAGCAATACACGCAAAAGGCATTTTCAAGTGATGATTGAACGCTTGCTAAACTCGCGGCTCTAGTTGACAACAGCTCGACAGAACACCATTTCACGAGATGCAAAAGTAAAAGTGCAGTCAATTGCTTTTTCTTTTTAAACAGTTTTCCTTTTTTAAGCAATGCATATTTTCCTTAGTAACCTTTATTGATTCCTTTTTTTCTTTTCAAGGAGCAGAGCAAACCTTTTCAGTTGTCACCATCCAGCCTTCCATCGCTGACGTACAAGAGGGTCAGACTCTGGAACTGAATTGCTTTCCTCCCGGTAATCCCCCTCCCCGGGTCACCTGGAAAAGAGCCAATGGATACATCACCTCCAACCATCAGGTTTTCACCCAAATCTTTGCTTTTAATTCTCTATATACTGTATATCTTAGATGCACAAGCACAAAACTTAGCAAAATCCATGCTGGAAAAAAAATGCGGCAATTAAATAATCTTTGGTCTTAGCCTATAGTTGAGAGGTAGGCCAACGTTTGATGGACTGTTTAGAGATTTTTGACTCTCGAAATATGTTTAACGTTTCAAGCAACTATTGTATTTTTTTGGGGGGGGTTATGCTCTTTTTGAGTGAATGTCTTGCTTTTTTTAACACCCTTATCCCAGTTTATATTCTCAGTTTCAAAAGGTGTTTATACCTCTTTTGCATTTTGTCAGATGATAACATCAAACTTGATGTGTTCTATATTAATGTTTTGGGAAAGATAAGAATATATATTGAGTGAATTTTGCTCCATAAAAGCTGTAAGCAAAGAACAAAAAATTTAAATGAAAAATAATGCAATCCAGAAATAAAATGTTGAAAAAACTTCTTATAAAAGAAAATATTTTGAGAATAACTTTGCTGTTTTATCAGATCTCAGATTTTATTTTGAATAAATAAAATCTTTCTATTTTTTTCTTTTTTAAAGATTTTATATTTTCTAAATTGATTTTATAATTTCTTCTTTACTCGGAGTGGACTTCTTCTGTAGCAAGGAGCAAAGAAGCAGTTCTATTGGTCTGCATGGATGGTAGCCACAACATTGTTATGGTCAAGACCGAGGATTGTATTGTGAAACTGATTGGTTAAAAAAAATCATTAATAGTATAAAGTCTAGGTTGGGTAGAAACGAGGGGAAAATGTCCGACTCGGTTTCGGTTCACTCGTCCAACAGGCAGCTGTTGGAGAGACTTGAAATTTGTCTGATGCAAAACAACAGAGGAAGATTTGCCTTAAATTGAGGCCTTAAAGCAGCTTTGAGAGGACTCTCCTCAGAGTGGCGGCTGATGGCCTTGTAGTAGCATAGGATAGTTTTTGTTATCTGCTTCAGACAGGAAGGATCGCAATGAAACAATCCTCATCTAGGTCTCTCTGAATCATAGATAGAAAGCAGCCTAATTTTGCTATCAAAAATCAGACTTCTCCAGAGGGGGGTTGAGGGTAACGTGGTTTCAGCTGATGACCGGTGTATCACGCCTATCAGACCCGGAGGTCACAGGGCAAAGAGGACGAGAAGAGTTTGCCCCATTGTTTTAAAGGGACATGATGTTACAGGGGTTTGGCTTATTTACATCATCAATATTTGTTCCCAACAGCTAGAACTTTCATGTTAAGTTAAAAAGGCCTAAAAAAGTGCATCTATTTTATGTTGGTTGCTTACCTGCATTGCACCAGTTTGCAATAATATTTCATTTTCTGAGTTCATCAAGACTTAAAAGGAACTCTTAAAACTCCCAAGAGTAAAGAACGCAGGATAAATAAACCCTTCTGAAAGCTACACAAATATTTCAAAGAATTGTATTTTTTTCAAAGTAAAATCTAACCTTTTGTCCTTCCCACTCCTGCAGGTTGTTGGCAATACGTTGCGCATCCTGTCTGCCACTTCGGAGGACTCCGGAGAGTACATCTGTCGGGTGGAGGATTCAGGGAGCTCAGGGTCCCCCGTCCATCAGGCCTCTGTCTCCGTCTCAGTCACTTCATCTTCCTCACGTAAGGCTGTGAAACACTCCCGCCTTCCAAACGTTGAATCTCCTGCTTCTGATGTAGATAAACACTAAAGACCCCCTTTGATCCTCTCTAAGTGTTTAATATAAGTACACTTAGCTGCACTTGAAGTGAGACAGTTTAAATAAATCTAGCAGCTGTTTCCAGATGGAATATTAAACAATGTAAGATCAGTAAGCTGCAGGGAAACTCACTTTATGGTCAGCGTTAGACCGCAGGGTGTTGCTCACAAAATCCACACTTGTTTTTCCCTTCTCACCAGTGTGACCTCAAGAATGGATGATTTTCCTTTCTGCTATCCCATGATGTCATCCTCATTCACTCCTTCCTGGAGCTGTCACTGTAGCCAGAGGCCACACACAATACAGCAGGGGAAAAAAAAGAAGTTTCTTTTGATGATATCAAGCTGTTGCTTGTTGCTTTCTGCTGCAGGTCTACAAAGCCCCATCATCGGCATTGAGCCCCACAGCTCTGCAGTTCGTGTCGGGGAGTCAGCCAGATTCAAATGCCAGGTTTACAGCGGAGCCCAGCCGGTCCGTCTGGAGTGGAAACACGTCAACAGCCAGGCTCTGCCAGGTAACAGCTGAGCCCACGCTGTTTAAAACCAGCAGGCCGGGTCAATCAGAGTACGCTCTCTTTGACTTTAGTTTTACCTTTCAGGTCATGATTCAAAATGGATCTGATTGTATTATTTTTAATGAAATTCAGTTGTGCATTTATGCACAACAGATTTAACCCTGTCATTGTTTATTATATAATAAAGAAGCATACAACGCTTTTAATAAGCATAGAGCAACCAGCCGCTGATGATCAAATGTTCTCCATTTAATGATCAATAGCAGACGTGACCAGCTCCAAATAAACAGGAGTGGTTACCGGCGCTTATAGCATGGCGAACACAGTGCCAGTATGAACAGATATCAGCAATGACCTTGGAGAATCAGGAGCTGTGGAAATACTGGAAGCACAAGAGCTCCTTCTGGAGAGATGGATGTACTCTGCAGGAGCAAAAAGATGTGAACTCTTTCTATTCTGCAAAAAACTAATATAAACATAAGTTAAAAAAGATTTTAAATTAAGTTTATTTACCTTTCATTTAAACAGGTTAATACATTACCAAATGGAATAAGTATTTTTGCCAATAAAAGTAAGATTGTATGCATTTCAAATAAGTTGATTTTTCCTTTTTTAGACATAATTTTTTTCAAATGGGCAAATTGTCTTATTTTCTCAATTAAAAGAAAATGCACTTATTTTAAGAAACATTTTAACTCATTAGATTAAAAATTTGGCAGAATTGAGAAAGCTCTTCACTGAAAAAGCGAAACATCCTTAACAACTGAACTGCTTTGGTTTCATTTGAATTGATTTGATCGTTTTACATTTTTTTTTATTTAAAAGACATTTTCTCTCTTCAACACCACCAAGGGGCCTTTTCTTTTGTTGTATCTTGTTCAAATCATCAGAGCAGTGTCTATATTTTTTAAGTTATATAGCTTGATTGGTGAGTAGATTAATTTATATAGAGGACATGCAGTCATGTGACCGCTGTCCAGCTTTCCAGCGCCATGCTTGATGGCATAAAAACAACCTGAGTGTGCTCTAATAAAACAGCTAAATTATTGGAGAGTTGGCCAACCCAACATTGTCTACATAAATACAAATACATAAACATTTAGATGGGAAGTAAAAAAAAATCTTCTGTGCAAAATGATCTATTTTTCTAGCTTCTTTTCACTGAATCAAGACTGCCATTCTTTGGACATCGAATTCTCCTACCATGACTTGTAAAGGTTATTTGCTGAATCACCGATCCTAATTTTCAAGAAAAGCATTGAAGGCTTATAAAAGTTTACATGCCTACAGTTATTTTTTTTTGCATCATGCCGCTGGAAGGAGGAAAACATGATGGACATAACCCTACTTATGTTGCTCTTAAATTTTGATTTGTTTAAAATGTGAAGATGAACCTTACTCTATCTTGGTGTGGTGGGAGTGAAGCCTGGTCGCCCTCTAGGCTTATTATACGCTCTGAGAAACCCTGCATGTCTTTTAAAAGATTAAACTCACCTTTGTTTTTAACTACCATCATAGATAGTTTCCACATCTAAATGAAAAAAACTCCACTACAATAATCTGAGCATAAAAACGAGCTGTTTATGAAGTGTTCGCTGCAGATTCTGCTAGTTGTAGTTGGCCACCCGTCTCCCTCGCCTTTCTGGGTCTTAAAGGAAGCATTAAAATTAGATGCCGTCCTATCTTCCTTGTCGGTTGGTACACCCATATACTGAACATGAGATTACCATGTTTTGCTGGTGTTTTCAAGGCGATGGTCCTTTCCAACGTTAAAGTGAAAATTAACACGGTAGACTTAGACCCCACACAACATTAGGAAGTAGAAAACACAGCTGTTTCCAACATTTTAACCCTTTATAGGGCAAGTTAGCTTTTTTGATCACTTGCATACCCCTTACAAATGGAGTCCCCCCCACCCTCGTCACTCAGTGATGTTTGGAAGCACAAGATCTATATCCAGCCATTCAGCAAAGATACTGCTACATGGCTGTACATCTTATTTTGGCATTTAACCAATTAGATGAGCCCTTGAACGATATATTACCTACTGCAAATTAAGTTGAAAAAAAGGTAACAAGTCAAGAAAAAAAAAGGTAAAAAGTTAAAAAGTAAAGTTAAAAAGTTAATAAGCCTAGGTAATGTCAGGGTTTGTTTGTGGTTTGGAGGACCCAAATGCAGAGGCAGAGAGGCTGAGGAGACTTCTTAGAGTTTAATGGAGTGAAACAGTAAACAAAGGCAGGAATCCAAAAATCAAACTAATAATCAAAAGCAAACCAGAACTATGGAGAAGTCTCGGGGAAACCAAACACGGGGAGCCAGGGAGAGATGAGGCAGGAAGACAACAGCCTGGGAAGACAGCAATGGCAAGGAACCAACAAGGAGTGACAGCAGAGGGAGAGAATATATAGCTGACTGAGACAAAGGTAGGGCTAACGAGCAGATGAGGAGCAGGTGTGAGAGGAGACAACGAGGGAGCCAAGGGGAAAGGAACCCACACACACAAGAGGGCAACAGAAAAACATGAGAACTAACATAAATCTAAAAATAACATTCAAAACAGGAATTAAACCATAAAACTAGGAAACATGGAGCAAACTAAAGCACAACAGAAACAAGACCATGACAGGTAATAATTATATTTAGGTTGATAATGTGAAAAAAAATATAAGTTCCAGTATAAGCATTAATACCTCTAAGGTTATGTTGTACCAAAAAATGTGTTTCCTTCACTCTCAGAGTGTTTTTCATGAATTTCTTATCGAAGCACTTTGTTATTTTTCTTCATATATTCTGTCAAGTTGGTGTTTCTTGTTATTACATTGACATTAATTTTTGCCATCAAAATATCCATATTTTTTGAATGTTACAAAGGTAATAACGTCTTTTCCAGGATGCCAATAACACTATTGGCTTGAAATTTGGATCCAAGCATCCAAATGCATGGGCGGAGCTAGACGAGGACCCTTAGCCAATCACTGGCCACCCCTACTAAGTGATATATTGTTCTCAGCCAGAGGCAGAGCCAGACCATTTCCATAGGGAGGCCAGCAGGGACCAATGCTCACCAAGGGGTGTCCAGAAACAAAAAGGCTCAGAAACCAGTCGATCTACTGTCATATATTCTAGTGAGGAAATTCTATATGGTCTGGAATGATGTAAAGATACGTTTATTCAAAGCTTATTTTAGATCTCTTTACATGGTTTCTTTGTGGAGTAGTGCATAAAACGGCCAGCCTGCAGACGCTTACGGTTGCATATAAAGAGAATGTGAATTATTTTATGCAGTTTTGCTGTCAGTTTTTGGTAATAAATCAACAATATGTGAAATTAGTCAGGATATTCTACTTGAGAGCATCACTGCTGCCACCCTGTGGTTAAGAGGGGAACTGTTTGCTCCAGAGATGGTGAACTACAGTACAGTATGTCCAATTTATGGGGAAGTCTCTGCAGTCATCAAGCAGTCTTCTATGAAATTAAAAATAAAGAACCACTGCCTAACCCTTTCAGATTGTACATTAGTCTGTTTTCAATCATTTTTTTTTTTTTTTTGGAGAAATCCGGATGTTTTGTTCTTTAATTTTCTATTTCGTTCCATATTCTGTCGCCCTTCCACCATGTTTTTTTCACTCAGAGCTTACCATGGAGTAAAATCTTCCTAAGTGTGTGGTGTTAAAAGTCTGGCCACGCAAATGCTGCACGGTTGGGCCGTTGAAGCTAAAATTAGATAATTTGGCCATGCAGACCTTCGCAGACATGTCAAGCATAAATCAAGTTTAAAGCCTTACTGATATTGGAATACAGTGGTGAGACCTACAGAGACCCTAAGAGGCCTGCAGGAACAAATCAACACAACCTCAATTAACTAAAGCAAAGATGTACAGAGAGATGATGGGGGCACTTATAAGGTCATTAAGAAGAAGACACCTTGAAGATATTGCTCTTCAAGGTGGTTTAACAAGCTATTAAAACATGGGGTGTGCAGATATTTGACATCATTGATTTAGTAATGGCAGTGTGGAAACTGTTGATCTTGGACCCTTGAAGTTGAATTTAAGAAACTGTTTTCCATTATATATTGAAATGTAAAACCTGCTGTTATTTCACCATCACTTTGTCACTCAAATCAACCAGCAATGCTTTTCTCTCTGATTTAATGACAGTTTGCCTGTTATGATGTAGTATGCAGTAAAATGCTTTGACATGCTGTCACCTTCATGTCTGCATCGGCAATTGTTCCAGTGTTAAATATTTTATGCACTTTTTCAAACAAAAAACAGCTAGCTCTGTTTAAGGCTTATCAGTGAAAAAGTCTAACTTTATTTTAAAGATGAAGCTTGTAGTTCTATCCACTAAGCCCACAGTCATCCCAATGTTCCTCATGGTTATTATTGTAAAGTTAAAACCATCTGTGCTTCCAGCCTAAATAATTTCTTATGTGATATTTGATTTTACTTTCTGTTCTGCAGATAATGTCAGAGTAAGCTCTGATGGCTCCATTATCACCATCAACAATGCTCGTCCCACAAACCGTGGAGCCTACCGCTGTGTGGCAAGCAACCTGTATGGTGTCACCCAATCAATAGTGTCTTTGATTGTTAAAGGTACTGTTTCTTTTTCATAGCCTTAATAGAATGGCTCCCACTGGTGGCTTTTGACATAGAGAAACATATTTTTATACCTTCAGAGTCTCCTGTGGCCACGGTAACGCCTGTTGGGCCTGTTCGGGTTGGGGTTGGTGAACCCATTAACCTTGAGTGTCAAGGTTCAGGAGAGCCCCGCCCCTCAGTGTCGTGGCACAGACTGGATAACAACAGGAGGACCACCCTGAGCAGCCCTGTTCCCATGGACTCCAACGCAGTCATGCAGGTGAGGTTAATCTTTCACTGTTTGCTTAGTGTTGGTTTATTGAGGTGATGACAAAGCGTCTGGGTTCAGAGATAAAAAAAAAAAAAAAGTCTTTGTGTGGAAAAACTCAAATGGCCATAAAAAATTATCAAAGTTTTCATTTCAAGTTAGATTTTTTTTTTTTTTTTTTTTTTTTGCAATGTTATCCATCAATTGGAATGGAGTCAATAACAGCTTCCTTCTCATCTGAGTCAGTGGCTCTGATTGTTCATTAAACATACAAGGGAATAAAACCCCTCCTCAATTAATTTTTTTTTCAGGTAGAGCCAGTTTACATCCAATTTCATCTATGGGTATATTATAAAACAAAACAATCCAGTTGATTCACAAAAATAAGAGCATGGAATCACACCTATCAAATAATTTTTTAATCAATTGTTTTTTCAGACACAAGAATGGTCCATATTGGTTAAAAAAACAACAACAAAGACATAAAGACAAGAAAATATAGAAGATAATTAGCCAACTTTTATTTTATTTTTTTATTCATTTTTTTTATGTCATGTCATTGCATCTTCTTTTTTCCATACAACAAAAACGAATAGAGGGAAGATAAATCTTGTAGTATCTGTTCCTAAAAACACAAATTAAACTCTTAAAAAAACCAAAAAATAAATGAGATTTCAAAAAATTCCACCCTAAATCCTCACCTGGTCACAAAACAAATTCAGCGTCATTCATCTTACAGGTTAGTTTAAATTTGTTCATGATCTCTCAGAATTTTGACTTAAATTTTTTATGTTCATAGACTCTTGTACAATATTTAAATTCCACTATCAAAGAATTCTGCAGTTTTTTGGCATAAACAGAATGACATTCTGTTTAAACGATGTCTGTGCATGCATATTACGAAAATAATTTTTTCTACTATAGCAAACGTCTTGTGCAATGAAAATACTTTGAAAATATTCTGGCAAATTATTCTATTTAAGTTCATCACATTAATTAGGATTCCCTCCGTCCAGTAGTTTTCAGAGCAGATTTACCAACAACTCCTCATATGAGGATTTGTCAAAGTCTGAATAATCGAGTTCTTCAGTTGTGGCATAAATGTAAACATGAAATGTCTTTGCAGTGCCTAACAGGTGGTATATGATTAATAAACAGAAAGAGACCCCGGGCAGCCATATTCTGTTTATCTGATTGCATGATTAAAAAAAAAGAAAGGATAAAACAGCAAAAGGAAAAGAACTGGGAAAAGCAATCAATATGCAGCTTAGTTACACTAGTTTTGTTTTAATCTTTTAGATTCTTGCTGCTCGTCAAGAAGACAGTGGGACATATGTGTGCTTAGCTCGTAATGCTGAAGGCAATAAGGAGACCAGAGTAGAGGTGATTGTAGAGGGAGGATCCCGAGTGCCTACAGCGCCCAGGGCCCTGGTTCCTGAACCACTGATGGTTGTGGTGGAGGGTCAGACTGCAACTCTGCACTGTGATGCTTACGGTAATATATTCTTGTTAAAAGATGCCTTATATAATGGAGATACAACTCAGTCGAGATGTTTTCTTTTTTTTATATATATTTAGTTCTTTGCTGTTGCTTTTTGCAGGAATTCCCTCCCCTGTGATTACATGGACCAAGCTGCGATCCTCTCTTCCCTGGAGACACAAGGTGGTGAACAACAGCTTGGTGCTACCAGCTGTCGGTCGACAGGACTCTGGAGAATACATCTGCAGCGCCAAGAACACCATGGGAACTAGTGAAGTCACACTGATGCTAGAGGTTGAGAGTGAGTGCTTTTTGTTTTTAACTTTTTTTCACTTTTAATTAGGGACCCTATATTGAGCTTTTCAAAGAAAAACAAAGCAAAGAATTATTCCTCATTAATTGTCCAAAAATTACATTTTGGGAAAAGTATTGCTCATGAAAAGTTGCCTTAATTATTCTAATTGTTTTATATAAAATCACTCTTATAGTGGGTTATCTCTAATCCATGCCTAACTTAAAGCAAACAAACTTGGCTAAAATGTAGGAATAACTTTTTAGACGAGATGGTATATTAAAAAAAACTTTCCACATTTTGAAAAAGGCATCCATCCTGTGGCTGTGTTTAATAGAAGAGAAATCTAGATAAAGTAATGTCCTAAAACAAAATCAGCTGCAATGCAAAAAAAAATGCTTCAATTCTGTTCCAAAGTTTGAAGAACAGATTATATCTGGTTGGTAATAAAAATAATATAAAAATTAGGGAGTGATTGCTAAAGGTACATCTAAGATATTTAGTGTTTTTGCATTGTCAAATAAAGGAGGTGGAGGAATCTAGAGTTATAAAAAGACAGAGGATGAAAACAACAAATGCCTGAAATAAATGTGAAAACTTCTGAGAAACTTTTATTTTACTTAAACTACCAAAGCTGTAATAAGCTCTATTTTAATGTCAATCGTTTCTCCTCCAGAACACGTTTCTTCATTTACTAATACTTAAATATTGAGATGGAGCCTAGGCAGAAGTTCAACTGAATAAACGATTACTTACCCATGCCCGCCTCTGTCACAAGCCAGTCGGTTCTGAACCACACCTCCACTAAAGCCAATCAACATCCTTTGCTCATCTTAAAAGGTCGCCAAATCCCCATCTCAGTCTGCTACCCCAAAGCCTTGGCAGTGGTTGCACCATGTCGGACTTTGACTCAGATGACCCGATTCACTCACCTCCAGCCCCTTCTCCACCATTTTAGCCTAAGCTTCATCAGAGGGTCATTCTTCCTGGACTCTTGCTGCATTTCCTGTCCCATCTCAACCGGTTTGGTTCTGCCGGAGGTTTCTTCCCAAAGGGGAGTTTTCCCTCTCCACTGTCACTCCATGCTTGCCCATCATTGACAGGTTCATGCAACCTGTGTTATCCAAGCTGGATTCTCGTCTTCTAGTTCCCAGAGTGAAGCACTAGTGCTAGCTCACGCAGTCAATTGGATCTCTTCATACAGCAGTCATGGACCAACTTCATCCATCTCCACTCCACCACCAGTTTCAGACCTGGGGGAAACATCCCTACTCTTACTCCGGTTTATGCCTATCAAAGCAAAATAAATTCAACTCTAATGTATCCTGCCGAGGTCTGGGTGCCAAAAACTAAAGTAAATGTATCAATAAAACTCTTCGATTTGTATTTCTTTTGTGTGAGTTTTTCAGATTAAATTAACTTTCCAAAAAAGTAGACCTAGATAAAAAAAAAAGTCAAGGTAAAGTTCTTCACAATTAAAGTTCTTTATAATGAAAAATGTTAGTTACTAAATTGTCTGGACTATAAGCCTCTACTTTTTTCCAACGCTTTGAACCATGTGGTGTATAAGAAGGTGCAGCTTGGCTGTTGATTTTTCCTGACCACCAGAGGGGGAAAGTCAAAGTTGAAAATCAAAGAAGAAGGGACTAATTTTAATTAAGCAGAAGAACATTCTAGTAGAAGGAACGACGGAGAACAAATGTCTCGTATGCACACATTTTGCCATTTATTTGTGGCATTAAAGCTGCTGAACCAATGAAGAGGCCTTCTCCAGGCGCTATATGTAGAGCTCCCCCTAAAGGTTTGGGAGAGCTTATTGCCCGGGGAGGCTTATATATGTACGTTCCCAGTTTTTTTTTTTTATTTAGTGGTCGCAGCTTATATTGAGGTGCCATCTATAGTCCAGAAATTACGGTACTGATCATAAAAGGGGCTAACAGCAATGATAAATATATTTTGGCATCCTACATAAAAAATAAGGCATCTGCATAAAGCGTAACTTCATACTTAGTGAAGGCTCTCTAAATGTTCTTTATTTGTTTTTAGCTTTGGAGGAACATTGTCATGGTTTCAATAACCAAACAACACAAATCTTTAAAATGTTTTCTTTCTTTCTCTCTGTTTCTGTAGCTCCTCCTTATGTCACATCTGTGCCCGATGATGTGGCAGTACGGGTCGGCGAGGTGATCCGGTTGCAATGCCTGGCCCATGGTACTCCTCCCCTCACCTACCTCTGGACTAAACTGGATGGTGTCCTGCCTGCAAGAGCTCAGGCCAGTGAAGGAGATCTCCAGATCAATCTGGCCACTGCTGAGGACTCTGGAAGCTATAAATGCGTTGCCAGCAATAGGGTCGGCCACAGCGAAGTCATTGCTAAAGTTACCGTCAGATGTAAGTTGAGGCTCAATCCATTCAGTTTATTTATTTGAAAACTTCCAAGTGAACCAGAAAAGACATTTTATTTTAAATATAAGACTGTAAAAAAAACACACCTGATATCCCTTTGTCTCTCCTTTTTTGTAGCCCCACTGGCGGTGAGGGTGTCACCTCAGGTTGAGGTTAAAGCTCAGGGCAGTGCTGTGGAGTTCACCTGCTCAGCAGCTGGAGGTCCTGAAACAAAGATTGAATGGCTGAAGGAAGGAGGAGCCCTGCCTCCAAACCACTACATAAAAGACGGCGTCCTCAGGTGACTGACTTCTATTTTCCACAGTGTCCTTATTTGCTGCTCGGAAAATATGCAACAATTAAAATCAGAGCATTTACAGTGCTCCATCCAGTTTGGACCGTTTACCAATAATGGCTCACTGGTACATTTCGATTCCATTCTAGATTGTAGTAAATGTTAAGAAATTGCATTTCTCCAACAGAAAAGCTACGGAAGCCTTGCAATAGCAAGAAAAAAAAAAGAACTGGAAAAGAAGTTTGAAGATTCACAATAGTTTGCTAAAAATGGCTACATGTTCTTAAAAACCTTGCTTTATTATGTCAAGGTTTTGGTTGAGGTTTGAGGACCCAAATGCAGAGGCAGAGGTGATTTTCTGTTGATTTAATGAGTGGTCACAGGTAGCAAAAACAGGAATCCAAAAATCCAACATAAAAATTAAACACAAACCAGAACCGTGGAGACATCAGGGGGAAAACAAGGAGAGTATTTATGGCTGACTGGACAAGGAGAGGACTAACGAGCAGTTTGGCAGCAGGTGTGAAGAGAGCAGTCTAAGGAGCTAGAGAAAAAGGAGACCAACACAAGAGGGCAACAAATAAAAACCTAAGAACTGAAATATAACCAGAAAACACAATAAAATAGGAATTAAACCAATAAAACTAGAAAACATGGAGCAAAGTTAAACTGAATACTCAAAAGAAAACATAACAGAACATAGACTGTGACATATTAAGGCATTTACAAGGATATATAGATACATACATATTATCAACAGTACATATAGGATCAATTACTGGACTGTTTACATAAAATCTTAGCCCAATCCTTCCAATAAAGATGCGTTTGGCTCTTGGTTCAGAAGCATCCAAGTTTGACCCAACTTAACGCTGTCAAATGTTTTTAAAGTCACCATGCAATCCAACAAACTTTCTTTCCTCTTGTTCAAGACGCTTTATTTTCCAAAAACATACTTAGAATGTTTTACCGCAGTATAACATGACAGGCAGATCATATTGGCTCATTTCTTTCCTTTTTTTGCCACTCAAAAAACAACAATAATCAATAGCGGTCAAAAACTGTAAACATGCCTGAATCCAAGAGCTCACCCGGCCTCAATAGCCAACTCCAATATATTCCAGGTGCTGCAGTCACCTGTCTATAATGAAGAGGCACAGCAGCAAAAATACAACTAAACAAATTCATTATTTCATAATTAAGTCAACTCATACTTCGAACCAAAATATTTCATGTTTCATATGTGTCATACCAAATCAGACAAAAAATAGTAAACTAGAAAAAATAAAATATTCAATCATAAATCAAGCATTTGGCTCCAACATTAATGTACGTCAGTATTTTTGGTCCTCAAGGCAGTTTTTCCTGTATGTCTTAGATGTTTATCTGCTTCAACAAACCTGTTTCAGATGTTGCAGATCCGCAAGCTCAGAATCTGCTCTTAATTGATATCAGGTGTGTAAAAGCTGGGAAACATTTAAGACATGCAAAGTGCCTTAAGGACCAGAAAGCACAGACATAGGTCATTAAAATGTTACTACTGAACATTAAATGTAGTAATAAAGCTTCTCTTCGACAAGTATAGTCACTTGTTTTTTCGTGCCCCACATATCTGGGTGCCCGAAAAAAAGGAAAA